GAACACCTACTCGTTGAAAAAAGTGGTTGGCTTTTGAACACTCAGATGTGAACAAATAGACTTATTAGCTTCAACAGCAATAATTTGTCTTTGCCTACAGATCCTCGAAACGCATCAGCAATATAATCTCCAACTTCGAGTTGAGTGCTCTCTTTAATGACATAGCCAATATACACTACACCAATAGGCACTGTAAAGTCCACCTGAAATGGAAGCAAGAATAATGCCACATCGGAAGAATTGTATAAACCTGCCTGCTCGTATCGAGACTCACTCTGCCAAACGGTGCCAAGCGTAATATCTGCGCTGCCATTCGCTATCTGCAAAGGTGAGCGGTTACAAATGTGGAAAGCTTTTAGAATAAATTCCATTGTCAGCATATCGCTGTATTCCATGGGCGCTTGATTCACGGTCATGGAGGCATTGATTGATTGCAGACACTTCATCAGGAATTCGACCTGGAATAAGATTCGGACTCGAGAATTCCATTACTTGTAGACAGTACGATATCAGCGAATTCAAAATCTCAATTTCCATTTACATATACACTCACTACCATGTTGAATATACCTCAGCTCCTGGCTTTTTGCAGTCCAATCCCATGCAGTTGCCAAGAGAAATGTATGGAAAACGTGGCGTGAGTCCAACAGCTGTCAAATTATATTCGTATTGCATTTGGGTAACGGCTAAAAAAAGTGATCAAAGCAGTTTCTCAAAAATTCTGGATAGACTTTTAACGAGGCAGCGCGCTTGCCAACGTAAAACAGCTTTTACTAACGAACAGATTTGAGGTAAAAGACAGCTTCAAGTGTGCTTTGAAAGCTTCTTTTGAATGTGTGCTTTGTATATTTTTAGACGGTGTCCGAGTGCCCCTCTTCAAAACCACATCCATGCTTTTCTTTTGTTTTCAGAAAAGCATATATAGACATAAGGAGAAAAAACAAGCGCTTTCCAAAAAACGCTCGAGCAAGTACCTCAGCTTCTATTTTATCCTAGTTGATA